CATGGCCATCTTTTCACAACAACAAACTTAAAACGTGGTAAAAATGATACATTATTGCTATGAAATATGGATTTTGCAATTATGGGGCGGAGTCTAATTGCATAATCAATATTTCCTTTTTTAAACATGTTTTCAGTTTCATGTTGTGAAAAGAAGTCTACACATATCAAAACAAAAAGGCAAAATGTAAGCCTGCCCACCCGCCCTATCTCAATTGTGATGTTTTTTTTTTGTTTGTCGCGAACCAAGAGGGCGGAGCGTAACTGCAAAATACTTATTTCTTTTCAATTATTAATAACATAGAAACATAAAACTAGGGAAAACATAAACCCCACCCACCCGCCCCTTCTCAGTTGTGATGATTTTTTTATTCTTAGAAACTTAAAATATGTTTAGATTGGTAAATGTGGATTTTGCAATTAGGCTCCGCCCCTAGATTCTGGCAACGAATGAAAACTTCAGGCAGGTATGGGTGGGGCCTAATCTTTGGTTTTATTTTTTTCTTAATATACATAGTATTCGTTGAACAACACGATACTCAAAGACGTGTTTTTAATTTCTCGTAGAGAAATAAGGATTTTGCCTTTTTTTCTTAATATGTGTAGACTTATTTCGACAACAAGAAATTTAATACATGCCTAAAACAGTAAATTTTTATAGTAATTAACTTAAATCCTCCACTTTTCTTCTACAACCCCTTTAGATACGGCAAAAGGTGAACATCAAAGTTACTATCGACGGCAACTTGACATCGGAGTTTGTAAATGACAATTTTTAGCTCTAAAATGAACGTCAGCGGGAATAGTAACTGCAACGTGAATTTCAATGTCAACAGCAGGTTTGTAAATCCCATTTAAATGTTTTTATGCCATTAAATTAATTCAAAAAAGAACATTCAAAATGCGAGCGCAGCGACCACATTTATGTGTTGATCAGAATTATTCGTCAGGGTCCCTAGGAAGCTAACTCATTAATGAGAGAATTTATTGTCTAAAAAAAAAGTGAATCTTGAAAATGTTTTGAGTACTAAAGTGGGAGAGACATAATATGTTTAGAAATCACAATAAAGTCTAGACAGCTTGGCGGAGATTCTTTCGTAACCACTTCTGTGACTAAAATCGAAAAAAAGCAACTTTAAAATGCGAGCGCAGCGAGCACATTCAGGTGTAATTTAAAAAATATATTTATTGGTGTCTCTGAGGAGCTAAATTAAGAAAACTTTTAATCATTTCCGTGAGACTAAAGTTAAAAAAAAGTTTAAAATGCGAGCGCAGCGAGCACGTCCAGATGTAATTTAAAAAAATATTTGTTGATGTCGAGAAGAAGCTAAAATATTAAGTCCAATTTTTTTATTAAAAAATGCGAGTTTAAAGATTGTTTATAATCACTAATATCTGTGGAACGTGTTGGAAATTATTGTAATAAAAATTAAGTAGCCTTTCTGTCGTTCATTCATTACCGGGACTTAATCTTTGGCTTAAAAAATCATCACAATTGAGAAGGGGTGGGTGGGCGGGGTTTATATTTTGCCTTGTTTTTTTAATATACCCATGGTATTGTTTGATTAACACGATACTCAGAAAAATGTCTTTAATTTCTTTTAAAGAAATAAGTATTTTGCAGTTAAGCTGCCCCCCTTTTTTCACGATGAATAAAAAAAAATCATCACAATTGAGATAGGGTGGGTGGGCGGGCTTATATTTTGCCTTTTTTTCTTAATATGTGTAGACTTATTTCGACAACAAGAAACTTAAAACATATCTAAAATGGTTAATTTTTGCAGTAATCAACTTACTTACGACCTCTTTAAATGTGGCAAAAGTTGAACATCAAAGTTACTATCAACGGCAACTTGGCAACGGAGTTTATAAATGACAAATTTCAGCTCTAAAAGCAACGTCATCGTCAGTGGGAAAAGCAACTGCAACGGGAACTTGAACGTCAACAGCAAGTCAAGGACGTTTATAATATTTACTTATGCAGATGCGTTTATATTTTATTCTCGTATCAATGACCCAATTTTTTATATTTTATTATTATTATTTATTTACTTTTTCTTAGTTTTAGAACTTTAGAAACAACTATCAAAATTTGGACAGGTAGAAAAAGTCTGTTATTGCAATGGAACAATATAGATATTATTTCCATTTTACACAATTACGATGTGGATATTAAAAAAAAAATTTTTAGCTTTTGTTCTGCTTTTAAAACTGCTGATAATTTTTTTTAAGTTGAGATTAGTTGTTAGACATATCTACATGACCTCTATGTCAAACGTGTCGTTTGATTTTAACTACATACTACTTGAAAAATAGAAAAGGAGAAGATAGAAATATTAGAACAAACATTAAAAAAAATTAAAATAAAAAATTGTTTGAATTATGAACCAGAAATTTGTTAATAACCGTAATAAAGTAGTAATCATGTACTTACTGTAACTATGACATGAAAGTAATTGTGTCACTGACGTCATAGTAAACCTGTGTCATACAGCATGTTCCCTAAACTTCTAGCGATTAAGTTGATTTAAATCCACGAACATATTATTTTTTAGAAATGTCTGTTCCTGCAAATTGCTGATTGTTATATGTCTCTAAAAAATAAAATTTACGTGTAACAAGTTCACTGGACACTGGACCTCTGACTAGGAAATTTTACTTGATTCTGAATGTGGTATCTCAGTTTAACTTTGTTTTTATTATTTTAGCAAATTGTTTGATTGCGTAAATTTCCAACAAATAGCTCATTAGATTTACATAAAAATGTTTACGATGCAGACGCGCGATATTTTTTTTTATTATGACCATTTGCTTTAAAGGTTTGTAAATAAATAAAGTGTGTAAGTATCAGTATTTATTCAGACAGTCGTAACTAGATTATAACAATTCATTACATTAATATAATGTTTATTAGAATACAATGAATAGCTGAAATACGTTTTTCGTTTAATTGAAATGTCATCCTAGATCCTATCATTTTGGTCTAAAACGTTATAAAATCGCTTAGTTACAAGTTGTCGTTGCTTTAAGATACCTTAAAATTTAAATCCCATCCCGCCACTGGTTCATTTACCTTTTAGGCATCGACAATATTTACACATTATATCGAAATCGAACTCTATCTAAAAATACAATCTACACTTAGGTCCCAGAATAAGTAGAGCTTTATGAAATTTTGATTATACGATCAATATTTCATTTCTACTGCTTTTGTTAAAATGGCCGCTTTGTCCCATCTCACATACGAAAGGTCGCCGACATGCAGATTGCTGAAACTTTTTACGATTTCTTTGTGATATAAAGTCGGATGATAAAATTTTGAACAACCTTCATAACTTAGGTAAGAAACGTTACGAAATCTTACGTCGACCCTGTGTACTTGCGATATGTTCCATAGTGATTAACTACTATCAAATTAAAAACGAGTTTTAATATATGCGTTAATTGACCGTGACGTAGCTAGAGTTCATGGGACAAAGCGACTTCGGTCCTATAAGCAAAGTATAAATATATCACAATATACAATATACAAGATACACACCCTAACATCCACATTAATATTGTGTTATTGTTGTACGAGTCGGATGGAATTGTGCCAAAATTTATTTGCTTAATCTCCCAACCTCCGCTTATCATAATATTTATAATGAAAACGTTAACGTTATGATATTATATTTTTTATAGGATAACAGGATAAATATTCTAATAAAAGTTATGTTACACTTTTTTATTAAGGATATAGTTGTTATGAATTATATTGGCATACGTTGTACACTATTAAAGCTTCCACTGTTTATAATTGATCGAATGGTTTGGTAGAAAGGCTGCCTTTGTAAACGTTTCACGTTCCGTTTGAGCAATTTTGTGAGGCGCATCGAGTAGGCTTGGGCTTGCAAGTGGGTCAGTTTGGGACGACCTCCCCTACAATAAGCTTTTGTGTCCCGAAAAATGATACACAGTCAAACTGACTTTTATCTCGGGTATAAAACCGAAGTCTCAGATTTTTTGCTTTTGATTATGATTTTGTGTGTTACTACACATAAATTTTCTTCATTAGTGTATTATTTGTTTACTTTATTATAACCCATTTATAATTCAAGGTGGTTCATTAATGGAATCAGTTGTAGACTAATAAAGGTAATGACCTCTACAGGTTAATAATTAGTGTCATATTAGTCTATATAATAGCGAAAACATCGACCATGAATAAAAACTAAACAGATTTTTTTTTAATTATTTAGGTCAGAGCAAATGACCCACTGGGACAATTTAAAATCAAAGAATTTTGACGTTTTATGCACCATCCTGATCCATTAAAATAAAATTAGAATTCATAATAAGAAGAAAACATTTCTATGAGCGTCGATGCGATTTCCGTTAAAATGGGATTTATTAAAATTAGCATCTAAATATTTAATAAAAATGTGGTGACGTCTTTGACCAGTTTTTTCAACTTGGACGTGGACGTCAATTAGCAAAGTTTGACATTAAAAGGCATAGCTTGACATTAATTTAAAGTAACTATTTCCGTTTGAATAAAAAGACGAATGTCCATCGCTGAAAACGTGACGCACAATTCTCGTTTGACCACGAAATTTGCGCACATCGGCTTATCATTTTTATTCATAGCCTCCCACGGCACTAATTTTTTTAAACCATTGACGTAGTGAAAACTTTAACTGCAGCTGTTCATATAAAAAGAAAACTTTGACAATATCACTCTGTACCATAACAAACGATTTGAATAAAAATCGCAGGCAACTGGAATAAAGCAAGTTTTTCGAACCGTTCATAAAAAACGAGTAAAAAAACCTCAACAAAAACAATCGTCCGAAAATGAGCCGTTCAAGGACATGCGAAAATGTGAAGCCAAAAATGTTAACTGAATTTTCCTGTTACGAATTCCTCTCCCAGAAAACACCACCCAACTTGCAAGCCCCCTCGACGCCCCTTTGTGCAGCCCCCACCCCTTCCCCTCCACATTATACATATAGAAAATATAATCTCTGAAGCACCAACAGAGTTAAAGCTATATCATCGATACAAAAATACATGAACTCTCTATCTGGCGCTACATCTTCATTCTTCACACATCCGAGCTCCTCAGCCCCTCCAGGAGGGGCGCCGTGATCTTGGACTCGTCCATGCAAATGAAGACCGGCGACGATCGGTCCTCCTCCGGTATGCTGCACCGCCTGTCGAAGCTGACTGACCCGATCTCGAGGCTGTTGGCCATGCGTTCGGGCTTCGAGCGTTCCCGGGGGGGCTGCTCGAAGCTGCGCGAGACTTTGGGCAGCTTGGGGGGCAGAACCTCGATGGAGGAGGGCTCCACGTGGGCCTCGAAGCTGATGGTGGGCTGGTGGTAGCTGCACGAGGGGGTCTCGACCGCCACCGACATCTTGCGCTCGTTGAAGGGGTGGTCGAAGCTGATGAAGTTGCGATGGGGGCGGGAGGGGCGCTCCACGAAGCAGGAGGAACGGCGGTAGCGCTGCGAAGGGGGCGGGCGGTCGACGACGGTGATGGACGGCCGGTGGCGGGGGCGCTCGATGGTGATCGAGGGGCGGCGGTCGCGGTTGAGGATGGGGATGACAGAACCTGAAAAGGCGAAGTGGCGGGGTTAGATGGTATTGTTGATAAACATATGTCAAAAAAATTGGCACCCTAACAAATCCCGCTTTTTTGAAAAAAACACAAATTTTTTCGGGTTTTCGATTTGCGGTTTTTCAATTTTTGATTGTTTTTTTGTTTCTTCGATTTTACGACATGCAAATTTTAATTTTTAAATTTTTCAGTTTTTTTCTATCCAGTTTTTGGATTCATTAATTTTTTGCAATTTTTAAATTTCTGGATTTTTAGTTTTTCAATGTTTCAATTTTTCGTTTCTTCAGTTCTTCGAATTGCGATTTTTCGATTTTCCACTTTTTTGGTTTTGTAATTTGTGTCTTTCAGCTTTATGATTTTTCCATTTTTCCCGATTTTTTTAATTTACCGATTTTTCGACTTTTCGAATCAAGAAAATGGAAAAATTGCAAAATTGTATCCAAAAGGAAAAAAACGAAAAAAGATAAAATGAAAACTTCGAAAAATCTAAAAATTGGGTCTTAAGAACATTAAAAATTGAATACGCAAAAAATTGAAAAACCTAAAGATTAAAAATTAAGAAACTCAAAAATCGGAAAATTGCAAAATCGAAAAAACAAAATATTGGAAATTAAAGAAATCGGAAAAACCAAGGAATTGAAAAAATTTTGAAAAATTAATAAACTAAAAATTATAAAATCGAAAAATACATTGAAAAAATGAGGAAATGAAGAAACAATAAATTGTGATATTTTTCTTGTTTCTTCAATTTTTGAATTTTGCAATTATTCGATTTAAATTTTTCGAGTGAAAAAAAAAGATTTTTTTAAAATTTTTCAATTTATAGATTCTTTCATTATTCATTTTTTCAAAATTTTGGTTTGCACTTTTTCGTTTTTCTTTTTCTTTGTCTTTCAAATTTTTCGATTTTTCAATGTTCCAAGTTTATAAGTTTTTTGGTTTTTTAATTTTTCGTTTCTTCAGTTTTTGGATTTGTAATTTTTCATTCAATTTTATAATATGCATATCTTCGAGTTTTCATTATTAAATGTCAGTTTTTCGACATTCGAACTTTTAGATGTTTCAGTTTTTAGATTTTTTCAGTTTTTCGATTTGCGAATTTTCGGTTTTCAATGTTTCGAATTTTCAATTTTTAGATTTTTTCTTATTTCAATTTTAGATATTTCAGTCTTTCGATTTTTCAATTTTTCGTTTCTTCATTTTTTGATTTTTAGTTTTTCAATATTCCGATTTTCCAATTTTTCGAATAAAAAAAAGCCAAAATTGTAAAATTGAAAAATCAAAAATGAAAAAACGAAAAAGTATAAAATGAAATCTTTGAAAAATCTAAAAACTGGAATCAAGAACATGAAAAATTGGAGAAACGAAAAATAAAAAAATTAAAAGATTAAAGATTAAACTCGAAAAATTCGAAAAATTGCGAAATTAAAAAATTGCAGATCGAAAAATTGAAATAACAAAAAATTATAAAATCGAAAGAAACATTAAAAAATAAAAAAAAAATCGAAATATTCAAGAAACAAAAAAATTAAAAATCTGAAAGTCGAGCAAGTGAAAAATTGAATCTACAAAAACGAAAATTGTAGATAATTCAGAAATTCAAAAATTGCAAAATTGAAAAATTTAAAAATTGGACCATCGAGGAACTGAAAAAGCGAAGATTGAAAGTTTGAAGAATTGAATAAATTAAAAATTATAAAATCGAAAAAGCTTTGATATTTTATTTTATTGTATAACGAAAAAACGAAAAATTGTGATATAAAATCGAGGAAACGAAAATTAAAAAATCGGAAAAATGAAAAATAAAAATCAAGAACTTGAAGAATTGAGGAAACAAAAAATTGGAAAATGGAAAAATTAAAAATTGAGAAACTGCAAAACCAAAAAATAAAAAATTGTAAAATCGAAAAATTGTAAAATTAAAAAATTGCAGATCGAAAAATTGAAGAAACGAAAAATTATAAAATCGAAAGGAACATTAAAAAAATAAGGGAAATGAAAAAACGAAAAATTGTTATGTAAAATCGAGAAAATGAAAATTAAAAAATCGGGAAAATGAAAATTCCAAAAAACAAAATATTGTAGAATTGAAATATTTAAAATTAAAGAATCGGAAAATCGGATAACTTAGAAATCCAAAAATTGCAAAATTGAATAATTTAAAAATTGGAAAATCGAGGAATAGAAAAATCAAAGATTGAAAATTTGAAGAATTGAATAAAGTAAAAATTATAAACTCGTAATAAACACTGAAAAAATAAAGGAAATAGAAAAACGCAAAATTGTGATATTAAATCGAGAAACTGAAAATTAAAGAACGGGAAAAATGAAAAGTAAAAATTAAAAACTTGAAAAATTGAGGAAACGAAATTTTGAAAGTTCGGAAAATTAAAAACTGAGAAACTGAAAAACCCAAAAAATAAAAAATTGTAATATCAAAAAATTGCAAAATTGAAAAATTGTAGATCGAAAAACTGAAGAAACGAAAAATTATAAAATCGAAAGAAACATTTAAAAAATAAGGGAAATGAAAAATCGAAAAAATGAAAACTAAACAATCGGGAAAATGAAAAATCAATCAAAAACATGAAAAACTGAGGAAACGAAAAATTAAAAATTCAGAAATTAAAATATTGAACAATATAAGAAGATAAATAACATCGAAAAATGTAATTTTTAAATTGAAATATCTCAAATCGAAAATCTGACGAAACGAAAAATTGAAAAATTAATAATTGTGAAAGAAAAACTGCAAAATCCAAAAAATAAAATATTGTAGAACAGAAATGTTGACAATTAAAGAAATCGGAAAATCGGATCATTGAGAAATCCAAAAATCGCTAAATTAAAAAATTTAAAAACTGGAAAATCGAGGAATTGAAAAATCAAAGATTAAAAAATTTTAAGAATTGAACCAAAAATTATAAAATCGAAGGAAACATTAAAAAAATAAAGGAAATTGAAAAAACAAAAATTGTGATATAAAATCGGGAAAATGAAAATTAAAAAATTGGCAAAATGAAAAATAAAATTCAGCAACTTGAAAAATTGAGGAGGCGAAAATTTGAAAGATCGAAAAATTAAAAATTATCACATCGAAAAATTGCAAAATTGAAAAATTGCAAATCGAAGAATTGAAGAAACGAAAAATGATAAAATCGAAACATCAAAAACATAAAGGAAATGAAGAAACGAACAATTGTTATGAAAAATCGAGAAAAATGAAAATTAATTAATCGAAAAAATAATAAATCAAAATCAAGAACTGTATTTATTTATTTATTTATTTATTTATCCATTTATTTATTTTCAATGCAGCCTAACGGGATAAAGGCCCGACAACAGGACAAGGTAATAATACATAAATAAAAATACAATATTACAAAATTGAAAAACTGAGGAAACGAAAAATCGAAAAATTCATGTTCCAAAAATGAAAAATGATGAAACCCAAATATTGAAAAATGAAAGAAAATGAAAAAACAAAAAATTGTGGCATCAAAAATTGTAATATAGAAGGAAAAGAAAAAACAAGAAATTGTGATATTAAAAAATTGGTTGAACGTAAATAAATAAATCCAGGTTTTTCGAAAAATTATAAGATTCGATTTTGCGAATTTAATTTTTTTAAAATAACTTTTAAGCGTCAAAACATGACGTCAGAAATTTTTTGGGAATAGATAAAGAAATAAATTTTGATTAATCATGCTTACAATAAGCTTAAAACGTTTGCAAGATTTCAAAGTGAAATCGCAAAAGTTATACAATTTTGATATGTTTTTTCCAAAAATCTGGATATGTAGGGTGAAAAATTAACACGGATTCATACACCACAAGTTCAAGACTATCTTATTATATAAAAATAAAATTAATTTACTATTGTAAATCCTGGAGATGACGTCATCAAATTTTTGGTGGGGATGATTATTCAATTTCTGGTTGGCGTTTTAGCATCTACCTAATATACATGCAAAATTTGACAACAATCGGTCCAGTAGTTACGCCCGGGAAGTAAAAAATATTAATAACATATGATAACGGAGAATAAAAAAAATTAGACGAATCGAGAGGTTTTTTTGTACGAGACCCTGGTGAAACTTCTAGGTCGTGGGATCACTGCACCCAACAATCCACTCCAATGTTTTCGTTAATGTCAGAAGACGAAAAAAATCGTTTTAATTGAGTTAATTAAGTAAGAAACGCAACCTTTTTCAATGTTACATGATCACTAGGTATGCAATAGCAGCCAAAATTTCAACAAGTACAATTGTATTACCAAAAATATGTCCATATATCTCTTATTCCGCCTTTCCCCATATTTCGAAAGCCATCACACCGGAAAATTTTACACAAAACCTCATATCAATTCTCTAAATACTTAATTAACTTGTAACTTGACAACAACAACACCATCTAGCATCCAATAAAATGTCTCTTCTCCTTTTATTTGATTCCATTTCTGAATTCTTTGGACTAATTGCTTTTCCATTTACTCATCAACCAACCAACGATTTCAGTGTCAAAGTCCATCTAGCTCACCCCGATTGACAAAAAAAAAACAAAACAAAAAAATTGTGCAGTATGATCGTGCCAGTGCGATATGTACCTTTTCTATTACCTGTAAGTGACGTGGGACTGTGTTCGTTCAGGACCATATGCTGGATGTCGATGGCGGATTTGACACGGCGTGGGGGTGGGTTTAAAATGGCCATCGTTGAGCTTCCGACAAACACGGAATTCTGCCTAGGCCGTCGTATAATGGGCGATGGAAGGGCTGACAAGGGGTCAGTCATGGCGTTGACGTTGTATTTTGAAAAGGACATTCTTTGCTGCAAATGAATATCGCACAATTAAAGGAATAAATTAAACACGAATGCGACAGACACAAAAAAATGGAAAAAGGACGACGAGCGTTGTTATGATTGTGTAAGAGCTGTGGTCTTGACAGCAAGTTGTCCTCACGTGTGGATATTATTAAAATTTTTTCGGCCGGCATTTTTTTTTTTTCTTAATTAGTTGGCGACTTTTTTTTAGTTTTAGACTGGGAATTGATAATTTCCGGTGAATCGTAAATGCCGCATAAATTTTTTAACTGTAATAGCCAGTCGTGCGTCAATGATGTTCTGACATTGTAAACTAATAAGATTAAATGAGATTTAGGAAATTCTTGTGCTTACATGAGTACAAGGCAAGTAATTACGTTAATAACATAATATTATTCGTTGATAACTTGAACGATTAGTGCTAGTAATAGATTAAAAAATTAAATTAAAAGAAAGAGTTTTTACACATTTTGATAGTCAGTATATCAAAGTTCATTCGTAGATAAAGTTGAATGTCTGTATTGCAACATTCACTCATTTCTAAATAGCAGACAAAAACTTGATGGGTTATTGAGTAATAACTAATAACATGACCTACGAAGGCTAAATGAGCGTGAAGTAACGAATTACGGACCGGAGAACTATCAAACTTGTGTCTTTCTAGGAAAACTTGTAATGGAGTTTTGATATTTAAAAAAAAATTCTGGAGTAAAAAATTTCGAAAGTTCCAGTAAGAACGTTTCCGATATTTAATTACACTTAATTTTACGTCTAATGTTATGCAGAAATCTTATTAACTCGCTCAGCTTTAGAACTACCGATCATGAAAGTTGAGCTTCCAAAACTGGATCGATAATACAATAGTAAAGTTTCAGGCGAACTTCGAAAGTTCTGGAAGCAATAAGTACAGGAGTAAATTGTATTTTGTTAATTCAGGCTCCGATTTAAACAAGCCGGTGGAAAGAAAAATGTGCCAAAGTAAACAATATTAAAAGGATTTCTTTAGAGTATCAAGTGTAACATAAACATTAAAATTTTATTACTATTGAGTGTTTTCACAAAATTGTATCAGTGGAAAATAAATTTTGTGCTAGTTGTGGAAGCGGTTTCGAAATTATGTGAAGTTAATTTAATGAAAAATTGGTGGAATACATAAATAAATGACTCTCCCGCAGTTATCTTGACTTGAATTTTTCCATTGTTAATTTTTTTTGTTTCTTCAATTTTGCGATATGTAACTTCGAATTTTTAGTTTTCAAGTATAAATTTTTCAGTGTTTCAATTTTCCAACTTTTGATTTTCAATTTTTGATTTTTTTGATTTGAGATTGAGATTCTCGAGTTTTCAAATTTTAATTTTTTAATTTTTCGATTTACAAATTTTCGTTTTGGTTGTTAATTTTTTTATTTTTTCGAGTATTGAACTTTTTAATGTTTCGTTTTTGTAATTTTTGGTTTTGACAATTATTTTTTGTTTAATTTTTTGGTTCATCAAGTTTTTGATTTTCAACTCTTCGAGTTTTTATTCGATTTTCCATCGTTTAGAATCTTCCCATTTACAGTTGCACGAGTTTTCAATTTTTAATTTTTCTATTTTTCTATTTGTCATATTTTCGGTTATTTGATTTGCAATTTGTTGTTTCGTTTTTTTTATTTTTTTTTATTTTTAAAATTTTCCGATTTTTCGATGTTCGGCTTTTATAATTTTTCTTGTTTTAGGTGTAAAATGTTTAAATTTTTGGATTTCTTTATTTGCAATGTTCCTAGTTTTCATTTTAAATATGTAGGTACTTAATAATAATAATAATAATTTAATTTTTTTTGGACCATTCGACTTTTTAATGTTTCGATTTTATCATTTTTTGTTTTTTAATGTTTTAAATTTTTTGTTCTTTAATTTTTCGAATTTACAAATTGTCGATTTTTCGGTTTTTCAGTATTCTGATTTTAAAAATTTTCTTTTTTCATGGTAAAATTCTAAAATTTTGGATTTTTTGAATTTTGCGTTTTTTCAATTTTAGATTTTTCAGTTTTTCGATTTTCCAATTTTTGATTGTTTTATCTTTTAGAATTTGGAATTTTTCCATTTACAGTTTAAGGAGTTTTCATTTTTAATTTTTCAAGTTTTCGATTTGCAATTTTTTGTTTCAGTTTTTTATTTTCTTTATTTTTAAAATTTTCCGATTTTTCAATGTTATGATTTTATAATTTTTTTGTTTTCACTTTTAATTTTTGAATTTTCAATTTTTTGGTTCTTCAATTTTTCGATTTTCAATTCTTCGAGTTTTCATTTTAAAATTTTTCAGTTTTTCGATTTTACAACTTTTGGATGTTTCAATTTTTAGATTTCGGAATATTTCCATTTACAGTTTCAGGAGTTTTCAATTTTTAATTTTTCAATTTTTCGATTTTTGGATTTTCAATATTCTGATTTTTTCAATGTAAAATTTTTTAATTTTTAGATTTTTTTGATTTGCAATTTTTCAATGTTTCGATTTTTCAATTTATCGATTTTTCAATTTTCAGATTTTTCATGTTTTCAATTTTTTCTTAATTTCTTTAATTTTTCGGTTTTTCAATATTCTGATGTTATAATTTTTCTTGTTTCAATGTGGAATTTTGAAATTTTTCAATTTTTTGATTTGGTTTTTTTTTTGGTTTTCAGTTTTTCGTTTTTTCAACTTTCAAATTTCTTAATTTTTCGTTTCTTCAATTTTAGATTTTTGAGTTTTTCAAGTTTCCAATTTTTGGATATTTAAACTTTTAGATTTTGGAATCTTCCCATTTACAGTTTCACGAGTTTTCAAATTAAATTTTTCAATTTTTCGATTTTTTGATATTTCATGTTTTCAATTTTTTCTTTTTGAAATTGTTCGGTTTTTCAATGTACTGGTGTTATAATTTTTCTCGTTTTCAATGTGAAATTTTTAAATTTTTGAATTTTTTGATTTGCAATTTTTCGATTTTCAATTTTTCGATTTTTCAATTTTTCGTTTCTTTAATTTTTGATATGAAATTTTTCTAGTTCTCGTTTTAAATATCTTATGATAATAATAATTGTATAGTTTTTTAATTTCTCAACTATTCGACTTTTTAATGTTTCGATTTTATGATTTTAGTTCAGTTTTTTGCTTCAATTTTTCGATTATCAACTCTTCGAATTTTCATTTATAAATTTTTCAGTTTTTCGAACTTTTGGATGTTTCAATTTTTAATTTTTCAACTTTTCAATTTTTCGAGTGTTCTGATTTTATGATTTTCCTTTTTTCAATGTAAAATTTTTAAATTTTTGTATTTTTTTTTGATTTGGAATTTTTAATATTTCAACTTTCAGATTTTTCAATTTTTCGTTTCTTCAATTTTTGATATGCAGTTTTTCTAGTTCTCACTTTAAATAAGTTATTACAGTTTTTCAGTTTTACAATTTTGACGATTGTATAACTTTTCGTTTTTACTTTTTTTGGGTTTTCCAATTTTTCGATTCGATTCTTTTTTTCTTCCTTCTAGTTTTTCGCTTTGTGAATGTTTTCCGATTTTTCAGTTTTTCGATCTTTAATTTTTAGATTTTTCAACTTTTCGAATTAAAAAAATGAAAAAATTGCAAAATTGATAATTGAAGAACCAAAAATGAAAAAACGAAAAAGTATAAAATGAAAACTGAAAAATCTAAAAACTGGAAATCAAGAACCTGAAAAATTGAGAAAATGAAAATCGAAAAATTGAAGAAACGAAAAATCGAAAAATTATGAAACCCAAACTTTAAAAAATGGAAAAATTGGACAATAAAAGAAAATGAAAAACGAAAAATTGTGATACCAAAAAATTGGTCGAAAATAAATAAATCCAGATTTTTCGAAAAACTGCAAGATTAGAAAATACGATTTTTGTTTTATTTTTATAAAAACTCTTTAAAGTTAAAAATAAAGATGTGCATGTAATATTGATGTAAATGTAAAATTTGCACGTAAGTCATTTTGGATAGGTGCAGTGTTTCGGGAAAATAGAGTGAGTAATTATTGATTTAATTAATAAAACTAATTATTTAATTATTTTTTTTAGTCACCCTGTGTAAATAATTTTAAAAACTATGAACACATTGATAAGCCATAAGCATAGAATCATGATATTTTGCATATTTCAGAGAGGATTTATTAGGCAAAATTTTGAGACGACTTCATCATTTTTTGAGAGGGGATAAACGAATAAATTTTGGTTAACGATTTTCCATGATTACGATAATCTGAAAATTTTTACAAGAGTTCAAAGCATTCGATTTTGCCATTTCAAAGCGAAATTGCAAAATGTTGATATACAATTTTGATTTTTTTCCAGATTAACAATATTAGAATATTTATTCTCTTGTTGTAGTTTTCATTAGCCAAAATGTTAATCATTTGTGCTTTTTACTACGTATGAACGATCTAATTCCCCAGAATAATTTCAATGATTTTTTTCTAAACAGCGATAACCTTTTTAGAAGAAAAATTACGTGTTGATATAAAATCATTTTTCCAATTCTGGAATAATTTTCACCAATACCCACTGATTTATTGTGAGCGTACAACCTAATTTGAAAGTGGTCGGTCCTTCGATTTCAATAATTCACATTGTTAAATATAGCTTTGTGACCTTCTAATTGAACTATTTAAAATATTACACGCGCTTTATTTGTTGTCATCTATTTATAGGCCACACAGTTTCAGTCAAGTTCTTTGTTCGTTTATTTGATTTTCAAAAATTATCCTTAATGACCGTAAACGTCTACGTGACAAATGCATTTCCATATTAAATTCAGTTTCAATATTTTATTAATCTGCGCCTAACAGATGGCAGACAGACGAAAAGGGAAACCGACATTTTTGTATTCTACCAGTGTAGAACTCCAGAGGAGTCTAAAACGACACAAACGTTGTTCAGAGTGTTCCTGCAGTCAAATAAGCAAAAGCAAAAACAACAAAAGTTTAATGGTTTATACCGCGTTACACAACTTAAGCGACTTCATTTACT